CCAATTGCATATACAATTGGACTATGTTTAAAACGTTCTGTTTTACATGCAAAGTTATAGTACGTTGCCTCATTCATTCTCGTTTCTCGTTGCTTTATTTGGGAAGTTTTCTTTGGTAAGAGGTGGTTAAGTTTATGATTCAGGTTTGACATGTCCTTAATAAGTTGGACACACATGTCATCGCGTCGGTCGGTTAGCGTTTTGAGGTTCGATTCCATTAGTGCTTCATGGTATTTTAGTTCCGGATAAATTATCCTTAACGCTCTTTTCTGGATTCGTTCGATATCTTCGCTTTGCTCCATTGTCACCCCGCCATTCCAAACTTGGGCGCCATATTCCAAAACTGATCTCACTACTGCTACGTAGAAAGTCTTCAGAGCTTCTTTTGGCGCATTATAACTCTTTAGAATCTTCATAAAGTATAGTCTCTTAGCTGCCTTTTTTGTGATGTACTCAGTGTTCGTTTTCCATTTAAGGTCATCGTCGAACCAGATACCCAGTAGCTTGTAAGATCTTACTTTAGTGAGAGACTGCTCCCCTAATGTAGTTGGGGGTATAATCGTTTTATTCTTACGAAAGTCGATGTGCATTTCTTTGCATTTTTTTAAATTCAGTTGCATATTTTCGTCGTTCGTAAATTGTAATACACTCTCCAAATTACGTTGGGAGTTGCCGATCGATTCTCCAGAGATATGATCGGAAACGTTTAAAACTTCAGACATGGTAGTGTCATCCATAAACATTGAAACAGTATCACTGTTATCATCAGATGACTGAACCACTGATGGGAGATCGTTTATATGAACTATGAAGGCTAAGGGACCGATTTTACTACCTTGTGGCACCCCACCTTTAATATATGCAGGGTCGGAGAAAGTGTTTCCGACTTTTGTAACTTGTGATCTGCCTTGGAGGTATGACCCGAGCCAAGCTAGCAATGCTGGTCTAACACCTATTTTCTCGAAGTTCTGGAGTAACTTATTGTGGTCAATTAGGTCGAACGCTTTTCGAAAATCCAGGAAAATTATTCTCACCACATTCCCATGGTTCTCCATAGCCGAATACCAGTTGTGTGCAAGACAGACAAGTGCTAAGACTGCCGAAGAACCTGGCAGTTCTCCAAATTGAGCTTCGCTCCCTTTTCCTTTTATATCTTCACGTACCCACTCAACCACATACGACTCTTGAACCTTGGATAGGACACTAGTGAGAGAGATTGGACGCAGGTCTTCAACATTCGAACAAGGCGTAATCTTCGGAATCGCGCAGACTGTGTAAAATTTCCAAATTTGGGGAAATATTCTTGACATGAATGATTCGTTGTATATATCGGCCAAAGGGATAGCAAAATATTTCGCGAACATCTTGATCAATTTCATGTATGGGTCGTATGGACCGGCTGCCTTCCCGACGGTAAGATCACTCAGTCTTTTTGCAACATTTTCATCAGTAATTGTTGGGAGAGGGTCTAGTTCACCCCGTGATAGCCAATCTCCCCGTACTTTCGAGAAGTCGTTTGTAAGAGTTGAGAAGAATGAATTTATGTGATCAGCCGTTTGCTTATTATTCATTGGTAGTTCGGAGATGGGGTCAAGAAGCGTTGGTGAGGTATTTCTTTTCTTTCGAACGATATCGTTTATGTTATTCCACCATATTTTAGGATTTTGTCGATAAGTTGGGGGGATTTTTTCTTTATAAAATTTTCTTTTGCTCACGCGAATCTCCGATACAATTTGGTTTCGAATAGTCTTGAAGAGAATGTATTTACCGCTCTTGTAGGCTTTGTTTTGCTTACTAATCAAACTTTTAATTTTTCCAGTTATGAAGGGTTTGTCTTCATCATGTGCTTTAATTATCTTTGTCGGAAAATAAAAGTCAATAATGTTATGGTTTATTTCCAAAAAACTATCGACTTTGTTATCTACGTTGTTTTCAGAAAGAACTGGTAACCAGTCATAGTGTTTTAAGTATTCTTCGAAGCCTTGTAGAGACGATTGTTTTAATGGTCTAAGCTTCACTTTTCTTATGGCGTTTTTTCGAGTTACATGAACTTTGGCATCTAATAGGATAGTTGCATGATCTGATGTTGCAATTGGGGCGAGAATTTTTGGGGTCTCGAAAAATGTAGATGTATCTGTAAATAATAGGTTGAGAGTGTTTGACCCTCTTGTACGATTCTTAATAATTTGTTTCAATTTGCTATACCTGACTAATTTGGCGGGACGAAATCCGTTGCTGGTAGGGTTAAAATCTCCTGCTATAATAAAGGATGTGCTAGGACTTTCCGAGATCAATATGTCATAACAGCTGTAAAAATAGTCGTAAAAGCGTTCTACGTCTTCAGATGTCGTTGATGGTGGCAAATAGACCACAGCTACTGCTATTCGAGAAATACATCTAGGCAGCCAAGTTGGTCGAAGGATAGCCCAGAGGCATTCGAAAGGTGATTGAGAAAAATCATGTCGTGTTTTGGTGGGGATGCTCTTGGAAATATAAAGGACTACACCGCCACCTCTGCGACCGATTCTATCTTTCCTTATAGATGTCATACCCGGCAGTTGAATAGCCTTGTCCGGGATTTTATCACACAGCCATGTTTCGGTGACAAACACCAGGTTTGATTTATATAGTTCCACTAAGTTTCCAAGCTTGTCCGTTTTACTAGCTAGAGACCTTGTGTTTAGGATCAAAACGTTCGGTAACCTTCGTTCATTGTTAAAATTTGGTATATCTTGTGAATCCACTAGAGGGATTCGTATTAAATTGTTCCTGATCGATCTCTCAAAATAATTTAGTTTTAGTCCTTTTCTAGAGGTAATCCTAATGGGAATAGGTTGAAAATGGGTAAGGGGGTTGGATGTGTTAAAACAACGGGGGGTAGGCAGTGAAGATTCATGTGGTTCTCTCTCATTTTCTTTAGAATTTACTTTGTCGTCAGTCGTCTAAATGTTGAATTCTTTTGGTTCCTCACCCTGTCGAGGTACACAAATTCCTATCTTACTCCACTTTAGCCATTTCTTGCGTTTTTCCATGTCCATACCATGTACTTGATCAAGATGATTTGGTAACCTTGCAAGATTTGTACTTCCACAGCCAAACACAGGACAGTTCCTACGCGTACGACCCATGTTTACTCGACGAAATTCGAATGATAACTGACTCATTTTACGCAAGTTAGACATTTTATTAGGCCCGTTTAGGCCCGGTTTGGCCTTATATGGCACTTTATGGCCCGATGACCCGATTTCTAACCCCCTTTGGGAACTAATTTTTGTCCCCGGATGTCCCCGGCACAGAAGAATGTTCCCACGGGGACAAAATTACATGCTTTAGTCTGGAAGAATGTTCCCACGGGGACAAAATTACATGCTTTAGTCCCTAATTTAGGCGAATGTCCCTCTAGAAATAGTCCCTTTGGGACTAATTTTTGTCCCCGGCACAGAAGAATGTGCCATGGGGACATAATTACATGCATTCGTACCTAATATAGTCGAACGCCCCTCTAACAATAGTCCCTTTGGGTATTAATTCTTGTTCCCGGATGTCCCCGGTACAGAAGAATGTTTCCAAGAGGACATAATTACATGCATTAGTACCTATTATAGTCGAATGCCCCTCTAATGTCTCTATGACCCATGTTAATATTAGGCCCAAAGGTCTGATTAGTTGTGTTACCCTGTGATTCTCATCCTTCGTGCCGTCCCAATGGAAGAGAATGTATGTTATCTCTACAACTCCAAACGGCTTTGGACAACATTTAGAGTATATCCTATCACATGATAGACATGTGTTGCTTCCAAATAATACTCTACAAAACACCATTTTAAAAGCGGGGCCGCTGATAAGATTTCTCAGCAACGGCCTAAAAAAGATATAAGTTAAATCTATCTCACGCAATATTTAACTTGAAACTGAGATACAGTGTGCATCCTTGAACAACATGTTTCTATCTTTATATCAATTTCCCCTGTCGAAATGACAAATACGTTTGAAAGGTCTAATAAGCAAGGTGTCCTTTAACACCGTTCTTTTATTGTGGCTAATCCAAATGTGGGGCCTCCTGATTTTGGTAATTCTGTTGAACTTTTTAGGGATTTTGGCCTGTCCCCGATCTTGTACATGTTCGCAAATTGGTAAATTGTGCCAATGGCGGTTTCACCCATTTACCGCGTGGCTTGAGCGATATAGGCGAGGAGTATCAAATACTATTGCTAACACATAACAATATACGAAACCTCACGAAAAGAGATATGATAATGCTAATGCTATTCAAAGAGATCGACCTCACGAATAATCCCTTGAATTGTACCCTCTACAACGATACATGGAGTTCTCTCGTTTTTAATGATTGTATAAAAACGTTCCGGCCAACGAAAATGCTAAGATTTGTAACAATACCTACGGCGAACAAGCAACAACATTGGAGGTAAAAACTAGTTACCAATATGAAACAACAGCCAATTCTATACGTTTGAAAAATACCGAGGGGCACCTGAAATTCTTATGGTTAATTTTGATACCAATCCTCTTTGTACTGATGTGTATTTTCGTGCTAGACCGAAAACGGAACCGGCCGCGAATAATTCACACAACGCCAATGGAATTGAATTTACTAGCAAGACAGTATGATGCGGCAGACGAGGAAGAAATAACTCAATTTGAAATGTAAGAAAAAAGGCTATAACATTTTACACGATTAATTTTGATAATTCTCAGTTGGTAGAGCAAAGGACTGTAGTTCCTCAGATAGCTGGTTCGAACCCAGCTTGTAAGATGAACAGGCGTTTTTTTTTGCCGGGTGCGAAAAACACTAGATATTAAAATCGGGCGCGAGGCTCAGTGGGAAAACATTTGCACAAGAATTTAAATTTAAAACATATTTATTTTATAGATATATACACACACAATATATTAATTGTTCTGTTCGAAAACTGTCTCATTGTTTTGCTGGAAGAGCGAAAGATCAATCAAATTGACCCTGCTGTGATCTTGCATGATGTCTAATTGGTGCGGTGCAGCACTTTCAAGAATTTCCAGTATGACTGCATCCGCTTCGCTAGGGCCTGTTCTGTTCCTTCGTAAATTTCAGCGTCCTGTTTTTCACTCTTGTCAAAGAGCGAGAGATCTATTAATTCGATCCAATTGGGGTCCTGTACAAGGTCCAATTGCTGCAGTCCAAAACTTTCACCAATTTCCTGTAATATAAGATCCACTTCGCTAGGGACTTGCCCCTGACGTCTTGCTTCCATATACATGTTCTCGCTTTTTTCGAATAAAAGAAAATTTTCAGGGAAGTTTTCCGAAAAAAACTTCTGCATCTTTAATAATCTTTCTTCCTTTTCCTTCTTCCTTTGCCGATATCTTTCATGCTTGTTGGACATGTTGTAGACAGTACTTGAGAGCTTCCAAAAAAGATCGATCCTTTATAGTGCTTACAGTGCGTAATATAGAGAATGCATATCAGACTATTTCCGCTCTTGTTTTTTTCAAATTTTACCGCTCTAAAAGAGACACAGCCTGTAATTAAGTTTAAAGAGTACGTGGGAAGCGCACCTAAATACAAAGGAAACACGACCGAACAAGAAAAGTAAGATAAATAAATAAATAATCAGCAACACGACTAAACCAGCATCACAATACAGTCGTGTCACCTTGTAAAATTTTACAGCATAACCCAGCATTATAAATAGACTCTTAAATTCATATTCCACATTCGAAAAAAAAATTAAGAAATGGGGGAATCACAATCTTTAGTAGAGGTGCAAAAGCATATCATAGGGATCATAGATATGGATGGATTTCTGATACACAAAAAAATTTTGTGTAAGGAACTTGGCATTTTAAAAGTTGGTGATGTGTCTGCAAGATCCTGCTTTGACATTGGTCTGAGTCAGTCAGATCTTGATGAAAAGACTAGAAGACACTGTATGTATCTTAAACATAAAATTCATCATTTACCGTTTGGTGCAGCGCCTAATAGCAACGCTATAAAACAGACCGAATTAGAGGCAATCGTTCCTAGCTTTTACGATAATTATAAAATTGATCATAAATCAAGAATTTGCTATAAGGGAGAGCACTACGAAAAATATATTTTAAAGAAACTGGGAATACAATCGTTAAACCTGGAGGAACTTGGATGTCCGAAGGCATCAGTCCTCTTCCACAACATTGTGTGGTTCGAGACATGTAGAAATCATACTACATGGGACAATTATGAACACTGCGCGAAAGTGGAAGTTGAAGCATACGGAGAATGGCTTGAGAGACAAACAGCAAAACAATGAGACTGTTTTCAAACAGAACAATTAATATATTGTGTGTGTGTATATCTATATAATAAATATGTTTTAAATTTAAATTCTTGTGCAAATGTTTTCCCACTGAGCCTCGCGCCCGATTTTAATATCTAGTGTTTTTCGCACCCGGAAAAAAGAACGCCTGTTCATCTTACAAGCTGGGTTCGAACCAGCTATCTAAGGAACTACAGTCCTTCGCTCTACCAACTGAGAACTATCAAAATTAATCGTTTAAATTTTCGACTTTATTTCAAAGTCATCTTCAGACAGAATGTACTCTGTCTGAAGATGACTTTGAAATAAAGTCGAAAATTTACAGTCTCAAACTGCGTCTTGTTTTGAATTATATATTAAATTCTCAAGATGTCCTGTATTTTCGGAATTTGGTTTTTACTTTATTTTTTTAAATTGTTGGCTGGTCATGGTTTTTGGACTAATCGTGTAAAGTGTCATAGCCTTTTCTCTTTCATTTCAAATAGAGTTATTTCTTCCTCGTCTGCCGCATCATACTGTCTTGCTAGTAAATTAAATTCCATTGGCGTTGTGTGAATTATTCGCGGCCTGTTTCGTTTTCGGACTAGCACGAAAATACATATCAGTACAAAGAGGATTGGTATCAAAATTAACCATAAGAATTTCAGGTGCCCCTCGGTATTTTTCAAACGTATAGAATTGGCTGTTGTTTCATATTGGTAACTAGTTTTTACCTCCAATATTGTTGCTTGTTCGCCGTAGGTATTGTTACAAATCTTAGTATTTTCGTCGGCCGGAACGTTTTTATACAATCATTAAAAATGAGAGAACTCCATGTATCGTTGTAGAGGGTACAATTCAAGGGATTAACCGATAGCATTAGCATTATCATATCTCTTTTCGTGAGGCTTCGTATATTGTTATGTGTTAGCAATACTATTTGATACTCCTCGCCTATATCGCTCAAGGCACGCGGTAAATGGGTGAAACCGCCATTGGCACAATTTACCAATTTAAGATTTTGCGAACATGTACAAGATCGGGGACAGCCAAAATCCCTAAAAAGTTCAACAGAATTACCAAAATCAGGAAGCCCCGCATTTTGATTAGCCACAATAACAGAACGGTGTAAAAGGACACCATGCTTATTAGACCTTTCAAACGTATTTGTCATTTCGACAGGGGAAATTGTTTGACAGCAGCAAACACCTTACATAGAACCGCGTTTACATACACGCGTTTGAGTAAAATTACTTCCAAATCTATAAGTGTAATTTTACATCATATATAACACAAGATTGCTGTAGAACAAGGTTTATACATATCTACTAAATGATAAGGTAGCTTTAACTGCGGAATAAATGTTTGCGCTGAGCGGAATAAATGTTCAGGGAGCATTAACAGCGGTCTCCATATCAGATAGAAACATGTTGTTCAAGGAGGCACACTGTATCTCAGTTTCAAGTTAAATATTGCGTGAGATATATCTCTTTTAGGCCGTTGCTGAAAAATCTTATCAGCCGCCCCGCTTTTAAAATGGTGTTTTGTAGAGTATTATTTGGAAGCAACACATGTCTATCATGTGATAGAATATACTCTAAATGTTGTCCAAAGCCGTTCGAAGTTGTAGAGATAACATACATTCTCTTCCATTGGGACGGCACGAAGGATGAGAATTACAGGGTAACACAACTAATCAGACCTTTGGGCCTAATATTAACATGGGCCATAGAGACATTAGAGGGCCATTCGACTATAATATGTACTAAGGCATGTAATTATGTCCCCCTGGGGACATTCTTCTGTCCCGGGGACATTCTTCTGTACCGGGGACATCCGGGAACAAGAATTGGTCCCCAAAGGGACTATTGTAAGAGAGGCGTTCGACTACATTAGCTACGAATGGATATAATTATGTCCCCATGGGGACATTCTTCTGTGCCGGGGACAAAGATTAGTCCCCAAAGGGACTATTTCTAGAGGGACATTCGACTAAATTAGGGACTAAAGCATGTAATTTTGTCCCCGTGGGAACATTCTTCCGGACTAAAGCATGTAATTTTGTCCCCGTGGGAACATTCTTCTGCGCCGGGGATATCCGGGGACAAAAATTAGTTCCCAAAGGGGGTTAGCCATCATGTCATCGGGCCATAAAGTGCCATATAAGGCCAAACCGGGCCTAAACGGGCCTAATAAAATGTCTAACTTGCGTAAAATGAGTAAGTTATCATTCGAATTTCGTCGAGTAAACATGAGTCGTACGCGTAGGAACTGTCCTGTGTTTGGCTGTGGAAGTACAAATCTTGCAAGGTTACCAAATAATCTTGATCAAGTACATGGTATGGACATGGAGCAAGACAAGAAATGGCTAAAGTGGAATAAGATAGGAATTTGTGTACCTCGACAGGGTGAGGAGCCAAAGGAATTCAACATGGAGGAAAGTCTGGAAAATTTATTTAAGCGGCAAGAAGAGATGGAGAGAAACTTTAACGTTTAGTTAAGAGCTGCAACATTAAAACATGGACAGACAAGTAAAGGAAAACATTCTAAATCTGGAGAAACGAAGAAAGACAAAAACAAAAGGTTAACATTTTAATTTGTATGCGTGGACAGGAATAAATGGAAAGCGAGAAATAAATGAGAAAAGCTAAAAGTATTGAATGTCAAACCTGTAGAGCATAAGGGGCAGAAACGTATAAGCTCGTGCTTACAGAAAACGGAACCGTTTATAAAGTAAAACGATCGAAACTAGAGGACAATGTAAAAGCTGGACAATATCTTTAAGAACTATATGTAATTGTGTAATTAATTGTTGTACTTAAGAAATAAATTTGTTACAAACGTTAATCTTTTGTTGTGTGTTAATTTACGCATCTGACCACGTGTTGCCCCCTTTTTCGCCCTTTTGATAAAAATAGCAGCGATATACTGAGATCTCAAAAATGTAATCGAGTAAATGACGTCACATGTGTACAAACAATATAAAATACCTCAAGAACTGAGAACATAAATATTTAAACAAGTTACTATACAGTTTCAACAGCATTTTCGTTTAAGAAAATAAAAATTCTAATGCCGTGACTCTTTAACATTTCATAAGTTGTTTAGCCTGCACGTTGTGTCAAGTTTTTGTGCATGACTTTGTGTTATATATTTCGTGTGGATTATTTGCGAACCTTTCGTGTTAATAAGTTCCCTGTATGATTGTATGGTGATAAAATATATAACACTTTTTGTTTGTGGAAACACCACGTAAAATTTATTACTGCAAAGCTTTCTATCCGTAAGCCCTGATCTTCATCAGTGCTAATAATATGATTTGTTTAATTCACACTCTCTTTTATATACAAAAGTGTAGTGATCTGTTGGCTCATGTCATTTGAAATTGGTAGCTATTAATTGTTATTTATTCTTTCTTGTTAACTTTTGTAAGAAGCTCGTACTCATCGTGAACATAGTCTTTCGAGCCAGGGCATCAAGCTATTTATATTAAAATTCTATTCTCATTAAGACTCGTCGCCGAGCCGGGCTACGAGTTACATAACATTTTTCCCGATCACAAGAAAGCATGCAAAGTTATCACCTGGCAGGGATATGAGAACTCTTTAAAAATAACAAAAACACCTAAACGTTACGCTCTTAGAAGTAGGCCTTACTAAATTTTGTAAAACATTTTAAATAAACAAATCTGTTTTAAAACTGAAATTTTGTACAAATACCTGCCTGCAAAGCCCGCTTTTCCGCCCGAGCGATCCGCCCGCCTGATTGGTGTACAAATATGTTGTAGGTTAATATATGTATACACCCAAGCGTCGCTAATAACTTAGCAACACATAACAACGTATATAGCAACTACATGTTAGATAATATATTACAACTGTTCTAAAAGTTTTTTCCCCAAAGAATCAAAATGTACCATTTTTCATTGTCGAAGTGGCAGTAGCTTTACCGTGTAGACATGAAATAAACCTTTTTCAATTAAAGACTATGCTTCGAACGGACCGGCTCCGCGAACCAGGCTCCGAGCTATTTAGACTAAGCTCTAAGCTTTTGGCTTTCAAAGGTTCATTAATACATATACATTTTCTCGACCGCCAAAAAGAGTTTTTAAATCTTGCGAGTTGGGCTTGAACCAACGACCTAAAGAACTACAGTCCTCCGCTCTACCAACTGAGCTATCGCAAGAGCATGTTTTAATCATGCGAAAAAACAATTAAAATACATGTGTATCTAGTCACGCTATCCCTAACATCTGGCACAGGCTACACAAAACATGAGTAGTTTTACAAAACATCTCTGTTAAAATTTTTTACAGCTTTAAAATATTATAGCATTAATATGTAAACTCATGGAATTGTCTCATGCACAAAACGTAAAATAAAACGTTTCAAAAACGTCTTTACGCAACAAATGCTGCGTGTTTTTATGTTTCACTAATCCTTCCTTGCTCGTATAATATCTTTTCCAAATATCACATTCGTAAGGTTTAAATTTTCTCTAGTAGGAATATATACTCTTCGATGTCTTGTTAAGCCACCCGTGCATGCAAACCCCTTTCCACAAACATTACATTTATAAGGACGTTCTCCGGTGTGTGCTCTTCGATGCAAAGTTAGGTTACTCGAATGTGAAAACCCCTTTCCACAAACATCACATTCAAAAGGTTTTTCTCCCGTATGTATTCTATAATGAGCAACATAACAACTTCCGTCCGAGAACCTTTTCCCACAAACATCACATTCGTAAGGTTATTCTCCCGTATGTATTCCACGATGTTTCGAACAATTACTCGGGTCTGCGAATCTTTTACCGCAAATATCACACTCAAAAGGTTTTTCTCCTGTATGTGTTCTTGGATGTTTCTCTAAGTCCCAAAATGTTTTGACACATATTTCACACTCATCAGCATATGTGTCAGTGATTGGAATAGCATAATCCCAGCCATTTATGCGGAACGTTTTGACATTCACCTGTTTGACACTTGTCACAGTAAAATAATTACCGTCAACCTCATCAGTTGTATAGCACCATTTATTTCATCATATGATCTTTTCTGCCCACAACCGACCTGTAGCAAAGGTTCATCGTTTTGCCAATCGTACAGAAATCTCTCTCGTTGTGCTGGGGTCCAAGTACCCGAAAGATCAACCACAAGCCCTAGCCGCTCGTTTTCTGTTTGCCATAGTCCCTTATACGCCGAAAAATCTCCATTTTCTTCTCAAACACAAGCCGTTGTTCCGCTTCACTCAATACATATAAACTGTCCACGGCTGTTAACTCCGCTATCGTTTGACAATCCTTAATTTTCGTATCCATATCAGCACTGTTATTTCAATGAAAGCTATATACTCTTTCTTATTCGTAAACCAATGTTTTATACAAAGCATATAACTATGTTACCCTCTGAATATCTTTATAGCGCAAGATAAATGTCATGCAATAATTCATGTCACGCGAAAGATGTTATGCGACAAATTTATCAGAAACTATTTGTAATGCTAATTGGTTGCCTGCCACATTTGGCCCGGGCCTGCCCGCGTTAATTGGTCGCGCTGCCTGTCACAGTTGGACCAGGCTTGAGCGAGTGACGACATAAATTTTGCATACTAGTTACTTCCGGAGCAACGTTACGTCATTGGCGGCATCTCTTTGTACTCCAGAGTGGGGGGGGCTTTACAACTGTTGTGGATGGTTGTTTAAATGTGCAAACTGTAGTTTATTTTTTAATTTTTATCTAAATATTGTTTGTGTGTTGTGCTATACACAGTCCTAACACAGTTAGGTATATTAAGAATTTAGAGGTTACATGTGCTTTTGTGTAAGAATGCTAATTTTAGAGACGACGGTGCATGAAATAATAATTTTCTTGTTATGATTTTGTAGAAAGAGATTTACTTGAGTTGTTGTCTGGTCTTGTGCCTGTTCAGGATGGATATGATAATGTAAGAGGTGATCAATGTGATAGGGCAGAAAGTGATGACAAGTTAAGTGATGAGGAGGAAGAAATCAACCAGGCTGTACCATTCAAGTGCAGGGCATTTTTTAACTATATAACTGGGGAGGGGGGGCAAAGCCCCCCAGCCCCAATGGTGCCCCCCCCCCCCCACTTAACCATTTTGCCCTCCCTCCCACCCAGTCAAAGTCCCTTTTCTCTAAAATATAAGCAAACATGGAATTTAGAAGGGAGGTTTGATATTCTAGTAACTGAAATTTGCTTTGTGAATCTTATGTCAATAAAACTTTTCAATAAAGTTTTCATTATTATTATTATTATTATTATTATTATTATAATTATTATTATTATTATTATTATTACATTATTTACAAATATGTAAAAAAGAGAATAATTGCTACTTGTATTCGCACGTCTTATTATATATTCTGTAAACGAAACAAGGACTGGAACAACCCGGAACTTTTAAACTTTTAACTAAATTTTAAAGATTTTCACCTGTATATATATTTTAGTTTTATATTCAAGTGGACATTGATAAGCTACCTTTTATTAAGTGAGGTTTATCAATGTATATATAGTATATCGTAAATATCTAATAAAAAGTTTCCATTATTATTATTATTATTATTATTATTATTATTATTATTATTATTATTATTATTATTATTATTATTATTATTATTATTATTATTATTATTATTATTATTATTATTATTATTATTACTATTATTATTATTATTATTATTATTATTATTATTATTATTATTATTATTATTATTATTATTATTATTATTATTATTATTATTATTATTATTATTAGGATCTTTATTTTAGAGCCGAGCTGCCTATATTATTATTGTTATTATTATTATTATTATTATTAGGCGGATCTTTATTTTAGAGCCGAGCTGCCTATATTCGAGGTTAGCGAATGTTCGGTGAACGATTGTGTTGACAAAATGACGAATCTGGTATATGATTACTTTGTAGAAAATTTCGGTACGGTGAATAAGTGCAAGGATTCCAACTCTGAATATCATACTAAGTATGCTAGTTACTCGAAACAAGAGCTAAAACGAGAACTGAAAGCATTAAAACGCCAGTCACCTGTTGATGTAGAGAATATTCAGTATGTGTCAAGATTACTAAGGACATTAACTCAGAATAAAGGCCATGATAATGCTAAATCTATTAATCACGACGAAGAAATCAAGAAAAATTTCTGGGCTTATGCCAAATCGCATTTAGATAGCGCTGACTATCTGATACCAACGTTCGATTTGGCAACTTGCACTAATTACTTTTAAAACATTTGGATGAACGCATGTCCATCTCATGTTTTTTCCCTACCAAATTGGTTACCGAGACTTTCAGCACCTGTACACGAATTTAATTCTACACCTCCAACTTATGCTAAAATTACGGCTATCATCAAAAGAATGAAAACAGGTAGCTCTGCGTGCCCACTTGATCAGCTCTCAATTATTCCATTTAAAAAATCTGCATACCTTAGATCTTACTTGACAACAATCATTCAAACGGTATGGAAATCGGGCCAAATTCCTGACACTTGGAGAAAAGCTGCATCAATTCTTATTCACAAAAAAGAATCAACTGACGATCCTCAAAACTTTAGACCAATTACCCTGCAATCAGTGCCTCTCAAAATTTTTACATCAACAATACGGGATGCCATGTATGAGTTTCTATCAAAAAACAATTATATTGAAAATAGGATTCAAAAAGGATTTACTCCGGGAATGTCCGGCACGTTTGAACATACGGCCCATTTAGCATACTTAATTAGACGAGCGAAAAAACAACAAAGATCTCTAACAATAGCACTACTTGACTTAAGAAATGCATTCGGCGAAGTCCACCATAAGCTGATTCAAACAGTACTAAAATATCATCAAATCCCGAGCATTTTCAAAATTGTATTGCAAACCTGTATACTGACTTCCGTACCGTAGTGGTTACGGAAAAATATCTAACACCGTTCCTTAAAGTGAGTAAAGGAGTGCTACAAGGAGATTGTTTGAGCCTGTTGTTGTTCAACATGGTAATGAATACGTTTATTCAATACATTAAAACGGATCAGTTTTGTCAACTCGGATTTAATGCTGGGCAGCCGTTTCTAACCCCCAAACATTGGTTTCAATTTGCCGATGACGCGGTGATAACAACAGGTGAGGAGTACGAGACACAAATATTACTGAATGCATTCACCAAGTGGTGTAATTGGGCAAAAATGACGCTAAGAGTCGACAAATGCAAGTCATTCGGAATTATCAAAAGGAACTCATTATCCAAGCAGTATTTTCCGAAAATTTACGTTAACCACGGCTTAATTACAGCGGTAAAGGGGAACGAAAGCTTTTGTTATCTCGGTAGATTTTACAACTTTCCGATGGATAACGTAGAACATAAACAGTTCTTGCTGTCTGAGACTAGTAGCATCTTAGAAAAAATCGATCGTCTCCCTCTACACTCAAAATTTAAGCTTGAGTTATATATGAAATATCTGCTCCCGAAAATATCTTGGCATCTCACTATTGCAGACATTGATAGAACATGGATAAAGCAAACTTTAGACACAATGTGCCACAATAAATTTCGGACATGGCTTGAGATACCACCAAACGGCACCCTTGACATATTGCTTCTTGGGAAATCCAAATTCGGTTTCGACATCATTGATGTATCAACAAAATTCACTGAATGTCAAGTAATTTTGCGAAATAAATTAAAAGACTCGAGTTGTCTAGACACCCAAAACCTTTTCTACGCATCTAGCTCAAACTGTAATGTGCAGTACGATGGTTTCTCCACCGCAAAACAGGTTGCCAAAGAAATTAGGAAAGATAAGATCTTTAATATTGAAAGCAAGCTAACGTCGCAGAGTCTTATAATTAAGTCGATTTGGAGAGATGCTTTCCAGGGTACAGCGAAAGATTGGCACTCGGCAGTTGACAAACTCCCTAAAAACATATACAACTTCGTAACTAGATATTTAAATAACACCCTACCTACATTAACAAACATGGTTTTGTGAAAGAAAGCTCAAAATAATCTGTGTCATTTCTGCTTGAATGTGCAAACACTACAACATATAGTGTCTTCTTGCAAAACATCCCTGGACGAAGGTCGATACACATGGAGACACAATTCAGTGCTGAAACACCTAGCAACGTACATATCTAGTGTCAGAAGGAACTTTCACGTTTATGCAAACATTTCTGGTTTTGATAATCCATCTGTGATCACAGGCTGTAATGACCGACCAGGCTTGGTAATATCAGACAACAACCAAAATATATATGTTATTGAATTGACAATCGGCTTTGAAACTAATATGGCAAAAAACTGTTTAAGGAAAAGGGAACGATACAAGGATCTTTGTAACTTTTTAAAAGAACGATTTAACAAAGTAATGTATTTTAACTTACGCATGGGCGCGATTGGAGTTTTAAGTCATGAATGTAAACAGTTCTATGACTTTTTGGACCGCGAAGTAAGATTAAGCGATATGCAAAGAAAATTCATCATTAGAAAACTAACCGGCTGCTGCATAAGGACAAGTTATTATATATTTTGCTCTAGAAACAGACAATGGTCTTGCCCTGAACTTTTATATTGGTAGGATTCATGCTGTCATGTGTATGTACAGTTATCTTATTTGACACTGTCTAAGTTGTTACCTTACGAACGTATTTTAAAATAACCATTGTAATAGCATTTCTGTAGAAATTCCATTTTGATGATTTGTAAATATTTTAAGCTTAGATTAACATTGTATTCTTTTCTTAATCTTTTGTACCATAATGTAGCCAGGTTGCCTATAATACTTTAGTGAGAGCTGGTTACTAATATTTGTATGAAATGAAATAAAATGTGTTTACATTATTATTATTATTATTATTATTGTTTATATTATTATTATTATTATTATTGTTATTATTTTAACACAACTAATGATAACATGCATAATGAGTCGTTTAACCACGATAAATACTTTGAACGTAATTTCTGGGGATATGTCAAGAAAATCATAAATTGCAGCGAATCGATTCTCCCTGCCTTCAATATGGACGACTGTTTAAAGTACTTTAAGTCAGCCTTGACTAAGGTCAACCCAAACAAAATATTTCAAATTCCAAGTTGGATTCCAATGTTACACGATCCCATTATTGAATTTGACCTTGAACCTCCAACTTACCGACAAATAACAAACATTATTCGTAAAATGAAAACATCTGGCTCACCTTGTCCTCTAGATCAAATCTCCATTATAAGTTTTAAGCGTTGCCCATACCTCCGAACATATTCAACCGAACTAATTCAAGCAGTCTGGCTTTCCGGGTCTGTACCTGACGAATGGAAGAAAGCTTGTACTATATTAATCCACAAGAAAAATGATGCTAATCTCCCCGAGAACTTCCGTCCAATAACTCTTCAGTCCGTACCACTGAAAGTATTCACCTCGAGTCTCCGTAATGCAATGTTCTCTTACCTACTCGCCAATAACTTTATCGAGCACGAAATGCAAAAGAGCTTCACCCCTCATATATCGGGGACATTTGAACATACAGCACAAATGGCTTATATAATCAATCAAGCACGAATAAGACAGCGATCTCTCGTTATAACCCTTCTTGATCTCAAGAATGCGTTTGGTGAAGTACATCACAATTTAATCCAATCTGTTCTTGGCTATCATCACATACCTCAACATATTCAACTGATGGTTAAAAGCCTTTACACAAACTTTAAAACATCAATCATCGCATCTGATTTTAACAACCCATTTGTAGAAGTAGGTCGTGGAGTTTTGCAGGGAGATTGCCTCAGTCCATTACTATTTAACCTATGCTTTAATACTTTTATCCAGCACATAAAATAGGAGAAATATAAAGAGTTTGGTTTTTCTTATAAACTTCTCAACCCAATTCATTGGCTCCAGTTCGCTGACGATACAGCCGTAATAACCGGCCAAGAATCTGAAAATCAACACCTACTAAACCGTTTTGCAAATTGGTGTCAATGGTCAGACATGATTATTCGAGTACATAAATATAGCACCTTTGGCATCAAAAAAGCTCTCACCAAATCAATTCAAAACCTCCCTAAGTTAATCATTAACAAATCTATTATTCAAGCTGTTGAAAGTGGAAAATCATTCTGCTATTTAGGAAGGTACTTTGATTACGAAATGACAAACAATGAACATAAATCAGAATTAGTCTTCCTATTGACAGACCTAATGAATGAAATAGATCTGAAGCCATTACATCCGAAAAAAAAGATTCTCCTCTACCAGTCGCTATGGCATTTCACTATAACATCAATTCAAAAAACGTGGATTTCTGAAAACCTGGACTCAGTTTTCAAACAGTACATTCGTAAATGGCTTGAGGTACCTATTTCTGGATCACTTAGTAACACTTACCTAACCAGTAACAAATTTGGTCTGAACATTATCCCCCCATCAACTAAATTCTTACAATGTCAAACAACTATCCGCAGTGCTTTGAAGTCATCTCCTAATGAATCAATAACCCACCTCTGGAAATCGACCTGTAATCATACTAACACCCAATATGATCAGTATACGTCGAAAAAAGAAGTAATCAAGTCATTCCGTGAAGTTCATGAAGATAAATTGGAAAATCGGTTAAAATGTCAAGGTTCATTCTTCTCCAGCATCTCAAAATTTTCACTACCCCAAGTAAATTCGATTTGGCCAACCTGTCAATCCAAACTACCAAAAAACATTTTCAACTTCACTATTCGCTACATAAACAATTCGCTACCGACCCGTAAAAACCTTCAAAAATGGGGACTCTCCTCGTCCTCTGAGTGCTCGTTTTGCCTTAAACCTGAATCTCTGTTACACGTTGTTGCTGGCTGTAGTTCCTATCTTGATCGATTTACTTGGAGACACGACTCAATCCTAAATTTTATTGCTAATAACCTCCCATCAGAACATATTCAGACCATTTATGCTGACTTACCGTCATTCCCTAACCCCTCTATTATTACTGGTGATGACCATCGTCCTGATCTACTAATTTTGACCAAAGACAATTGTCTGTATGTACTCGAACTAACCGTTGGATATGAGACTAACCTGAGGAATAATATACAGCGCAAATATTCAAAATATAAAGAGATGATCGTAGAACAAAAGAAAAAATTCCGGCCGGTAAAGTTCATTAACCTCTCAATCAGTGCACTCGGTGTTTTTGAAAAAGAATCTTCACATTTCATACAAATGTTGGAACATTTGAACTCAGATAAGGCCGGTGTTAAATATATCATTAGGAAAATCATTAACATTGCAATAAGAACGACATATTACGTTTTCTGTTGTAGAAACAAGGATTGGTCGAATCCAGATTTAATGAACTTCTAGTTAGTCTCTTACTTTTTGTATCATATAATTATGTCCATGTGTTATGTAAATGTAGTAATATATAGCGTATCAAGCAGCCAATTGTAAATTACCTTTAACAGTGAGATTTTCAATTGTAAGTGCATAAAAAATTCTATAAAGTTTTCATTATTATTATTATTATTATTATTATTATTATTATTATTATTATTATTATTATTATTATTATTATTATTATTATTATTATTATTATTATTATTAAGTCGCAGTTGATGCAGATCTTCGACTGTTTGCTGACTGTCCTAATTCAGGTACGATCTGTACTTCAACTTTATTTCGAACGCTAAGACCTGATATAGTGGTGGATTTTAAGGGTTCTGTATATGTGGTTGAATTAACTGTTCCCTACGAAACCAATTGTACGAAGGCTAAACGTCGCAAGAAAGAAAGATACAGACATCTAAGATCTGAGCTGATCACGGCGTGTTATGCGTTTGAAGTTATTACACTTGAAGTAACCACTCTAGGGTTTGTGTCGAAAGATATTGACAGATTTCGCAGATTATTACGAACACTTGAAATGAACGACGAACGTATTATTAAAAAATGTATGGAGGTAGCTCTGAGAGCAACATTCTACATTTACTGCAGAAGAAATAAGCCGTGGAATAACCCAGACTTACTGAATTTTTATTAGCTACTATTGATATAAAGTGTAGAGAATGGACCTATCTGTCTAATATAGTGAACTGTTTCTCTATTTTCCTGATTTAATTGAAAGTCTAATTATGTGATATATTTGTATAAATTATCATGTTATTAATAAAGATTTCTGTTATTTAAAAAAAAATTATTATTATTATTATTATTATTATTATCGAGCAGAGCCGTGTTCAGACGTGCTCTGTACATGTCATAGTTTTATCGCTGGTTTTGTATTTGAATCACAGTATTTCTTACTAATTGTTAAAATTTATAATCATAAAAAAGATCATCATCATGATTCGTTCAAGTTTTATTGCCATGCTATTGACTTGCGTCGTCTGTTCGTTTTGTGATAAAGACTTCGTCTCGCTCGGTCGCCATTCATGGCGTTGTAAACAACGGATTAACCAAGCAGAACAAGACCCCCCTGACGCTACTACAAGACAAGTGCCTGTAATGCAGTCCCCTAATGTTCCTGTGTCAAGTCGTACGGTTATTAAATGTTGTTGTGGCAAGATATGCAAAGAGCGCGCGGCCTTAAAATGCATCAGCGCAGTTGTCAAGTGATACATGGCCTTAACGACGAGCTTTGTGCAGATCTTGAGGAGCAAATAACTACGGATAACAGCAAAAATATTTCAGAAAATGAACACAATGGCAATGATATTAATACAGTTAATTACGAAAGTTTTCCTGAACTGAAGAAAGACATAAATCTCCCGAAAAATGATTCTGAATGGTCAACGGCTAATGATTATTTTAATTATGCACTCCAGCCAAATGACCCAATCACATTTCAAGATCTAAATTCAAAAATCAAGCTTTTAAATGACGCGATATACAACTACTTTGCAAATAATTATGGACATACTGAAACTGTACCCGACAAAAATATGGTAGCTAAATATAAAGAGTATACGGTTAAAGAGTTAAAGAAAGCTTTACAACATTTAAAATCCAAAAAGGGTGAACTCAGTGAAATTAAATACGTATCGGCGGTATCGCGTACATTGCGTGACAGGCTCCGTAACAATAGCAACGACGCCGATGACTTAAATGACAGTGAGTCTTTTAATCACAACAAATATCTGGAACGAAGCTTTTGGGGCTATGTTAAAAATATAATCAATAGAAAAGACTAAGTATTACCATCATTTATTAATATGACTGATTGCCTTTCTTATTTCTCTAAATCTCTGGCTAAAATTAATCCTAACAAGCTATTTGTAATTCCCAGCTGGATCCCAAAGTTATCTGATCCTGAAGTTCAATTTAACCTTGACCCCCCAATCTATCAACAAATTACGAATGTTATACGCAAAATGAAATCGTCTGGTTCTCCTTGCCCTCTTGATCAACTTTCTATAATAAGTTTCAAGCATTGTCCTTATCTGAGAACTTACCTTACTGAGCTAATTCACGATATTTGGCTATCTGGAACTGTCCCAACTGAGTGGAAAAGAGCATGTACCATACTAATCCACAAGAAAGGCAACAATAATGACCCTTCAAATTTCCGCCCCATAACACTCGAATCCATACCTTTAAAAGTATTTACATCTTGTCTTCGAAAAGCAGTATACTCCTTCCTTCCATCTAATAACTTCGTCGAACACAACGTACAAAAAGGCTTCACCCCTAACCTATCTGGCACTCTAGAACATACTGCACAAATGGCTGACATTATTAATAAAGCTCGGATCAGACAACGCTCTGTTGTCATCACCCTACTTGATCTTAAGAATGCCTTCGGCGAAATCCATCACAACCTCATCCAATCCGTACTTGACTACCACCATATCCCTGATCATATAAAATTTGTTATAAAAAGTTTATATACTGATTTCCAAACCTCGATAATTACCTCTGAATTCCGCACTCCTTTTATGACAGTTGGCCGTGGCGTATTGCAAGGAGATTGCCTCAGTCCTCTTCTTTTTAACATGTGCTTCAATACATTCGTTCAGCATATCAAAGCTGAAAAATACCGTCAATTTGGGTTTTCCTTCAAATTACTAAATCCCATCCACTGGTTCCAGTTTGCTGATGACGCGGCTGTAATTATTGGCCAAGAATCCGAAAACCAACATCTATTAAATCGATTTTCTATCTGGTGCCAATGGTCCGATATGATTATCCGAGTTGACAAATGCAAGACGTTTGGCATTAAAAAAGCCATCACAAAATCAGTTCAGTACTTGCCAAAACTCTTCATCGGCAATCAACTAATACCAAAAATCCCTATTGGAGAATCATTTCAATATTTAGGACGTTACTTTGATTTTCACATGTCGAATGATAATCATAAAACTGAACTAACCACCCTACTTAATGAACTAATGACTGATATTGACTCAAAGCCACTACATCCCAAAAATAAACTGCTCCTCTACAGTCGCTACGTCTTGTCCAAGTTAGCCTGGCACTTCACCGTCGCAACACTCTCAAAAACATGGGTTACTGAAAATATCGAATCTATTGCCAACAAATATATCCGCAGATAGCTTGATGTACCAATATCAGGAACACTAAGTACTGTCTTTCTAACAAATAACAAATTTGGCTTGAGTATTTATCCTCCATCTGTAAAATTTATCCAGTGTCAAACAATTCTCCGAAAAGCTTTAAAATCTTCTCCTAATGAATCAACTAACGACCTGTGGAAAGCAACCAGTAACCATACTAATATCCAATATGACGCTTATAGCTCTGCTAAGGAAGTTCTCAAAGATTTTCGTTCTGGACACGAAAACAAACTCCTGAACCAATTAACCAGTCAAGGATCCTTTTTCTGCAGCGTCACGAAGTTCGCTTTACCCCAGCTTAACAAGGTGAGGTCCATCGCCCAATCAAAGCTCCCGAAAAACATTTACAACTTTACCATTCGTTACATTAACAACTCTCTTCCGACGCGCAAAAACCTAAACAGATGGGCAATATCTTCAAATGCAGACTGTTCTTTTTGTCTAAGCCCTGAAACATTACTACACATAGTAGCTGGATGTCAGTTTTATCTCGACCGATTTACGTGGAGACACAATTCAGTCCTGAACGTTCTTGCTAATACTTTACAAACTGTTGACGGTTCTACTCTCTACGCTGATCTACATGGATTCAAAAGCCCTTCAATACTTACTGGTGATACGTATTGCCCAGATTTGTTATTATCGTGCTCAAATGGTTCATTATATGTGGTCGAACTCACCACTGGTTATGAGACAAACCTCAAGAACAACGTAAAACGGAAGAAGGATAAATATAGAGAATTATTGAGACAGCTAGGTAAAAATTTTAACCAAGTTAAATTTATAAATCTCTCTATCAGCTCTTTAGGTATTTTTGCAGAAGAATGTTCTACATTTTTAGACATGTTAGAAAGTATTGGTCTTGACAAAAACCACCAAATGTACTGCGTTAAGAAAATGATGACTATTGCTATTAGAACTACATATTACATTTTTTGCTGCCGAAATAAAGAATGGGAAAATCCGGATTTACTAACAATTTGACTTATCTGATTGTATATATATATATATTGCATGCACTTTGTTCTGTTATTTTAGATTAGTATTGTGTGATTCAAATAGCCAACCGTAAGTTACCTTTATGAGAGAGATTTACGATTGTATATGTATGTAAAGAAAAACATTTAATAAAGTTTTCATTATTATTATTATTATTATTATTATTATTATTATTATTATTATTATTATTATTATTATTATTATTATTATTATTATTATTATTATTATTATTATTCCAAAATTAATGTTAATATAATCCTTCTTAAAATAATTATTGTACAATAAATATATAGTATCAATTCAAGTAGACATTGATAAACTACCTGTAAAGCGAGGTTTATCATTGTAGTTGTATATATCCTAATAATCAATAAATAAAGTTTCCATTATTATTG